CCAATTTTTCAATTAGAAAAAAACTGAAGTTGCATGATACGGGTATCGCCCAATTGTAAATTCACATGAGAACATTTTGGCACACAACTCGCTTATAGTTGCTTTAAGATGGAGCTATCGTGAGAACAAATTTGCTTGCATGCTCATGCACGAGTGGCGCGGCGGGAAAAATGCTAGTTGCTCGTCGCTGCGCGTACGGGACCGATCCCTAACTCCAGCATTACGGTAGTCAACAACGAATGCTCTATGGAATATCACAGCCAGGTTATGCTCGAGATTGTAAGGAGACGCGTTCAACCAGTATTCTGCCAAATTCAAGATGGAGGCGAAGACGAACCGATTGCTAGATGCGCTGGGATCCGCATTGGGGAAAAAACCCACACTCTGAAGACAGATCGAAATGAATAAAAAAATAAAAGATCTTCTTTTACAAGATCAATAGATAAGTGGTATCATTCGGTCTGATTTGAGATGTCAACGAGAATTTGGAATTGAGCTCAATACGCTAAATCATATTCACCTTATCGAGTGGTATATCGGCTCTACTATGAATTTACTTTTGTGTGGCGATAGGCCGTCAACACCAACTGAAAGAGTGGTTATACGCCCATTGTCAACGTTTTTTCGACTCCTCTCGAGATCACAGGCAGAAATGATCCGAAGACTCTCGTAGATGATGAATGAGGAAAAGAAACTAATAAATTTCTGATTGCTTTAGGACGGATTGACTTCGCGGAAACAGACCATCATCAATGGACAGTCGAATCAGTATATTAACAAATGAGAACTTAGCTTCAAAAATTATGAAATACATAACTTCATGTGAATAGACGAACACGTTAACCAGAAAAACAAACGTGCGATTACAAAAGAAAACACGTTCGATCTTTATCACTGCTTCTAACGATCGCATGTTTGCCCTTGAATAATCATTCAACCTGATATTTATAGGTGTTACGGTGGTTTCATTTTTCATTCACTGTATCTCTTGAACATCAGCATCATTCGTTCTAAACGAACATTTATTTTTTATTAGCATAATGGTTAGTTATGAGGAGATTTCTCTCTTCAAGGAGGACGAATCGGCGGCCTATGCCGTTTGGATCTTCCTTTCGGATGAAGAAGAAGAGATCTTCATCTTTAACAACGACACTGAAACATTTTCACATTGTCCAGTTGTTTGAAACAACTCACTTAGGAAATCAAAGTCATTCAACCAAAAAATCTCAGTAAGGACTCCGTAGAGGTTTTCTTGAATTTTGGAGTGTGTTTCCAAGAAGTTAAGAAGAACTCACGCTGACAACTCAGACACTTCTCTTTGTGTTCTTCCGCCTTTCATCGTCCTTCCATTTTGTTTCAATCCCGACTCCTAGAGCGCCTTTTTGATCGACTGTTGCGTGAAATTCAGAATGTGGAAGAATATTCGCTGTTAAGCATGAGACAATGCCATACCTTCATTTGCCCAAAATAAATGAGGTCTTGTCAGAAAAAACATACTTCTCAGCTCTTTCGACGTTGTTGCATGGGGGCAGGCCCCCAAACATTCTTCCGGTCAGAGACGAAGCCCTAGCAACACAACAGCAACTTTGACGGCGCTTCAACATCGACACAGGCCCTCTTGCACTGCGACCGGCCTAAGGGCTTCGATCTCACCGTCGTCTAGCTGCCGCTGGAGGAGGTTGGTAAAAGGAATCATACCTGCTATATTCACCTTTGTATACTCTATGATATCACCAATATGATTATCACACCTTGGTAAATCAACCTATGTTAATGGTATGATATGCTTATCGCTTTGACAATTGAAGAGTTCTAAATGAACACGTTAGATTTTCAGGAACACATCCGCCACCAGTTTTAACCCTTTGCTGACGGCAGCATAGTCGATATCGCAAGCGGTGCGCGAATTTCGTTAATTAGAAAGGATATTTTTCTATTTCAGGAAGAACTTCAGGTTTTTTGTATCACTTTGATGAGACATGATTTCCTCTACAAGTCATGATGTTTTTGTGCACATATAACTCCTATATACTAAGAAAACTTCAAATGTGAAACGTGCTTTCATTTTCGCTCTTAATAGCGCAGTGTGAAGCCTTTCTTCAAAACCAGATTTATCTCCAGAATCGTTCGAGATTTTTGCTATAGAATGAGTGCTAGCAAAGTCTGATAAACGGCGACCCATAGACCTTAGCCGAGCTAATCACGAAAACCGAGTACGAAGTGTAAATTTATCTTCTCTACAACAGCGTAATAAGAAGGCCCTTTTCAGGAAAACAAACATAATGATGAAATTGCCGTGATTTAAAGACAAATCCCAACGCAAAAGTCTTTCACATCACTCTACATCACTAGTGGGAATTCGGTTTGATCATCCAGCAACGAATAGCTTTTCGCGTGACTGAGTTCAATGTCGATTACTACTACCGGGGTCAATCTGTTGCTTGGTTGCTGACAAATAGGTTTTTTTTTCTAGTGTAGGAAGAAGGATGGCAAAACGGGCGTCAGTAGCATAACGGGTTAGAGCATGCGCTCCCGGAGAGAATTAGATGCTGGTTCGAGTCTTGCCTGATGCAAAAGTGTTGCACATGACTCTACATCACTGGAAAATCCACATTTATTAACCTGCTTGCTTAATTGCTCCAATGCAGGGCTGAATGTGGGGCGAGGGTCACTGACGAGGAGGACGAACCTCCGAAACACCGGTGTATGACTCTGGCGTATCAACCCCTTTTGAGCTTAAAGCATTCTTTTTTTTTGGAATTATATTGGATGTTTTTTTCGGGGTTTCAAAAACAGTCGATCTTTTGAATTAGTTTTGATTTAACAGCAAAAATCTATCGACTGAGAGGTGGTGATGGACCAGTGTCATTTTACACTGTGCCATCACCACATACGCCTCCCTCCTTGCTTCAATGCAGGGCTGAATGTGGGGCGGGGGTCACTGACGAGGAGGACGAACCTCCGAAACACCGGTGTATGACCCTGGCGCATCAACCCCTTTTGAGCTTAAAGCATTCTTTTTTTTTGGAATTATATTGGATAATTATTAACCGTTTGACTTCTGCGGACCAACTGGACGTGTCTCACAGGCAAGGGCTCTCACCCTCAGTGTGGGAACGACTCCACCTCCTCCGGCCCAGCGTGGGTAACGGCTCCACCTCCTCTGCCCATCGTGGGAGCTACCCCTCCCTCTCTGCGACTTCAACCTCAACGTGGCAATCACTGTCTGTCTCACTCCTCTGCCACTCGGCACCCGTCCATCGGAAAGAAGGTTGTTGGTTCGATTCCCTATCACAACACTTCACTGTAGTTTCTTCAAATTTTATCTTTATGTTTTCACTGCAATATACTCATCAAATCAGTGACACACCAAATCACTTCACATCTCATATAATAATACCGTAAACAAGCGATCACTGCGTAGAATTTACTAATCACCATTTATTATGACATATGAAAATGTCATGTTGTTATGAGTTGCAGATTGTTGAATATATGATGATAAATGAAATTTATACATTGATCGCTTGTGTTACTGTGTAACCATATGAGATATGGTGTGATTTAGTGTGTCAGAGATTCGAGCATGTTATAGTGAGGACACAAAGATAACACCAAAAAGCTATTCTGAAGTGTTGTGGTAGGGGATCGAACCACGAAACCTTCTTCCCGATGGACGAGTGTCGTGATAAAAGTTTTGAAAATATGACAAGCCAAAACTAAACAGAGTTGATGGCATACAAACTGTCAGCCGTGCTAAGGTGCGTGATTATTTTTTGAGGTTAATTTGCCCTTAATTTACTGTATGAATTTTTAATGGAAGGAAAAAACCATATTTCTTAAGGCGAAAGTATTCGTTCAGGCTATCTTCCGTGATCAATTAGATAAGAAAATTCGAAGAGTTGAATGTAATGGACATAGAATTTCAGGTTCTTTTGATTGTGACGTAGCAAGTGAGAAACCGACCTCATCCGCTGAAGAAGTTCTCATGCCTTGGACTATTAGTAGTAATTCAATGGCGTAATCGTTTATGATTCCGATGCTGTACTTATATCCTGAAAGGACCGTTTCTCTGAAATACAGCAAGTAATAAACTTTGAGTCCCCATCTGCGACACTCTGGCCAATTCACGTGCGGGTGGCCGAGGCAGTTACGTGCATTGGTGCGATGTCGTAGGACCGCTGCAAGGTCTATCAATCAACACGCCAACAGACGTGGCTGCCTCACCTACCAGCGCGTGAAATGCCAAAGTTTACTTAGAATTCAAATGGGAATTTAACTTATTATACTCGCTACGTTTTAGAGAAACGGCCCTTTCAGGATATAAGTACAGCATCGGAATCATAAACGATTACGCTACCGAATGATTACTGATAGTCCGAAGAAAGAGCTCTGTCTGGCGAGATATATGCACGTTTGCAACGCTAGAAATTTCCTCTTGTAGCAACGTGAACAAAAGGCTTTTTCGAAAATTGGCGGCTAGGGGTTGTAGACTGAAATCTGAGTTTTCGAATGGTTATCAACACTCCCATGAATAATTCCTCTCCAGCGAATGAGATCGGTTTTTTCGATTCGTTCTCTTATAATTAGAAAGAGCAGAATTTTTGAATAAAACAGCCGATAAAGAAGAAAAGTTTGATACTCAACATTTCTAGTATTTTTACTCAATATTTCTAGTGTGTTATGCTTTTCATATATACCCAAGAGAATAGAGTAGTGGCGCGTATATACCTCGGCGGTGTAGTGATAGCACGCGTCCCCGGTATGGATGAAACGCGGGTTTGACTCCCGTCTGAGGTCGTATTTTTGCTCACCATTCAATTTTCTTAGGTATATATAAAAAAGCATAACACTGCGAAAAATGCAGTAAAAACACTAGAAATTTGGAGTATTACTTATCACAATGGCTGCCAGCTCCACTGGATTTATGAGACGAAATCGCATACCCGACCAAACGTGTTGAAGATTAGAGATTAAAGAATGAGTGGTGGCGCGAATGTATCTCGGTGGTGTGGTGGTAGCACGCGTTCCCCGTATGGATGAAACGCGGGTTCGACTCCCGTGTGAGGTAGTATCTTTGTTTACCACTCAATTCTCTTAGGTATAAAAACTTAGCCGAATGTTTCTGAATGATGTTTTCCTAACAGTTCGCTAATAGTAGAATGGAGGTCGTTCATCCTACTCTTTCTTTTGAACAAATTAAGCATAACTGTTAAACGCTGCTTCAAAAGGTCAGGTTTGGACGATACGGCAGTTGAAGTGGAGTACTCACCTGGATAATGCTTGATAAGTTCAGAATGTTTCAATTATTCGCACTGAAAATGTGTTCGTATGAATGCTAGGCTTTCGAAAGTAAGCAACGGTGAGATAGTGATTGATCATCTCACGATGAACTAATAATTGGTTGTGAAAAGTATAAATTCCGTGCAAGAAGGGCAAATCATAGACTGGCCCCGATTTATAAAGTGAATTGTTGTTGCCCGATGTTAATTTAATAAGTTACTGATTGTTGAATGAACAATCTGAGTAAAAGGCTTGCATTGATAGCCTTTTGTTAATTATGCATCAGATTTGTGAATTATGCCTAGAGAAGTACCATCCACAATGATGAAAGCACTCATTCTACACTTTAGCCATTCATTAACTGAAAATACTTCCGTCTATGTTTCTTTCAGAAACATGACCTCGTTGAAGTTGTATTTCCCAGCAAAATTCTTGGTGCACAGGTGTTAGAATTGAACAACAATGGTTGAAAGCATGCTCTTTCCAATTGAATGTGGTTTTTGCGTGGAAAAATCAAGGCTCTCAGACGAGTGACCATTCTTGTCACTCTGCTGCAACCAATTTTGAAAATATGCTTGGTAAATATATTTCGCCCATGTATACCGTTTGTTATGGGCACTTATGCAGTGCAGTACACGTGTATCGGCTTTGAAAGCCTCGTCACTTGCACAATGCATTTCGTCTTAGCCAATCCCTCTTGGGGAGCAACCCAACCTCTTTACATAGAGGAGTCTCAGACGTACTATTCACACCTGCCATCAAGTGAAAGAAGTCATTGAATGGACATGTTGTACACTCGATTGCTCTTGCCTGGTATTTATGAAATATCACACCGTTCGTTTAGTGTCTTCTTGAGACCACGCCCAGAATTCAATATGCCTGATAAATATTTTTTGAGTCATAAATGTGGTCTGTTATAGGTACTTAATAGTAGTAAATAATACGTCTGCGTCTCCTCTATGTAAGGAGATTTTCACCCAGGTGTGATTGTGATTGGCTAGGACGAATGGCAGTGTGCAACTGACGAGGCTGGAAGCCCGAATCACGTGTATTGCACTGTATCAGTGCCTATAACGGACAAAATGCATGGCTCAAAAAATTTATCAAGGATATTGATTAACTTTAGCGAGAAGTCCAACTCCTTCAGGATCGCATGTATCATTATTCACGTACGAATTTCCCGAAGCTTTCTTTGGACACAAAATCTCACTAAGCTTTTAGCAATCTTTGAAAAGCCTGAATCTTGGTGATTGATTTATAAGCTGTGCCTGATTTTTGTAAAGGTCTTCTTATTGAGTTGTAGCAGCGGAAATGATGATATGTTTCACCTTGGTTTGATTTGTTTGCTCGATTAGATTCTCTAGATTGTTATTCACCGCATTCTTAGCAGTGAATCGATGGCTGAAATCTTGTTGATTCTGAAGCTAGATCTACTTTTTGCCAAACGTCTTTATAAAGCGAGCTGTAAGAGCGGAAAGAAGATAAGTTTTACAGCCGGATTAGTTGACTCGCCGCTTGAACTTCATATCGAGTATATCTGGTTATTAAGACAAAAAGATTAAGCTATAAAACGATAGAACAAAGTCTCCTACAAGTCTCATATGTGTAGCACAGAAGCTCTCTCGCTACGATAAGAAAATTCATAAATAAATGACGAAAATCGCGTACTTTTGAAGCCGCAGTGAACATGCGTGAAGCGTTCATCAGTAGACGCTGGATCTTCAATTATTTAGAAATCTTTTTCTCCATATCGAGAGAATTTTTCGAAACATTTTGCACACCACGCTTTCCTCTTACACGTTCACCTTCTAGATGCGTATGACACCATGTGCGAAGCGGAATCTTCCTCTCGATCTTACACTGCTCTTCTATAGAGACCATCTAAAAAAAACTAAGCTTTAAAGTCACCGTTATTTGAGTTATTGTTTAGCTACTATAACTCGATGAAAAGGCAATCACAGAGCCAGGCGTACAGTTAGTATGCGCCCAAAGTTAAAAAGTAATTTCTTTGACACTGTAGCGTGCTAAGAAGGACTTCTTGAAAACCAAGTGCAATATTGAAATAGCCGAAATTCAAGCTCGATTGTATAGTAAATGCTTGAGAGAGAAACCAGAAAGGCCCCGTCCCGAAAGGGTCAATTGTTTTTTTTTCTTGTCGACATCGTCTCTGCGTGATGGATTGCAAATTTAGTTTCTCTTGCATGCTCTTAGATTTATGATCCGGTAAATCACTGATATCATCCCCATTTTCGGTAACACAGAAGGCTGACAAAACTGTTCCCTGGGCATAGAACATTGTGTTATTTCACTTAAAGTTATTTTCAATGAACCTAAGAACGTCTATGGAACTAGTTTATTTTGAGCGTTCCCAAATTTTGGTCACTCTTAACTCCAAGATCCTATGACGACAAGATATGAAAGTGCAATGTCATCAACAAGTAGTTGCAATTCAGAGATAGAACGTCATGTCAAGGTAGTCCACTTTTTGTTAAACACGATAATGTCCTTCAATGTCATTGATACATGTCAAGAAAAGGGCCCAATAGTATTTCCGGCAAATCTTTATGCGTCGTTGTCGTAATTCAGTTTCGTCAAATGTTTCGACCCTCGCCTAAACATCTGCAGGAAACATAAGGAGTTCTCAGAACTGATTTTCTACTAGACGTAAACTTTTAGACTATAACTACTTAAATCTCTCGACGATGCTCATGATATACAGAACGGATGTGGATCCGTGGCCGACATCAAACTTTACCTGCTTTTTGGCGGCAATGCAACCCATAGCAGTCAGCCATATATCAGCTGGTACATAAAAAAAAGGATAGAGCTTTGGGCATTGATCAGTCCCTCAGGGAAACGCCATGCATTCGTCCCAATTTTTAGCGTTGTTTGAGGTGAATGACATGCATGTGTGACCTTTACAATCACTCGCGGTGACCTACCTGTGTATCGAATCGGTGCTGCTTATCCCCCCGACAAGTCTGGTACCAATTTACTGGCTACGGACGGATGGAAGACTTGGTGATCTATGAGCGTGTGATGGAGTCATCGACCACATGTGAGGCGCAGACCACCTCTAATCACTGCGTCACATGCGCTCCTAACTGGAATAAAATGTGGTAATAAATTCATCAGCTCTCACTTAGTGAGAGAGGTTCTTCATTCGAGCGGTGTTGCCTCCAGTGGATTCAACTTGATACGAGCGAAACCCTTGTGGCGGCCGCATCGGTTCGGATCAATTCGGTTCTTAAGAAAGCGAAAACGTTGAAACATTAGTCAAAGAAATATTTTTGTGCCAATCTCACGTGAGCTCAGTAATATAGGAAAGCACTGTTTATTGTTGCCGATGTAAAATGGAAGCCGGCTTTTAGAGGTATTCCTAATTTGATTAAAAATCTGTAATGTTCTCAGATTTTTCTTACTGAAATTGTACCATAGCACCACATCAATCAGTCCTATGTAAAAAATTGGTTACCAGTGATATTTATACTTTTATTTCAAGTGTTTTATTAGAACCACGCTCATAATTCAATATATCTCATAATTATTATTCGAGGCAAAATATGATGTGATTTGGTAATGGGCTCTCGTACAGCCCAATACACGTGTCTCGACCTCACAGTCTCGTCAATCGGGCAGAACCCGTCGTCTTTCACTATCCTCTCGGAAGCCCCTACTCTCCCTATAAAGAGGTAGCGGCGACGAACTATTTGCACTGTAAGTCAAGATAAATTATCCCCGATTTTACATGATTACACTTGATTGCTCTTGGCTGGTATTTTCATAAAATTTACCTTTGTTTCGAGTGTCTTATTGAGACCACGCCCTAATTTCAATATGTCTCGTGATCATCATCTGAGCTTGGCGGCAGTGCAGTGTAAGTTGTTCGTCGTCGCTTAACTCCTTATAGGGAGAGTAGAAGATTCCGAGATGATTCGCTAAAGGCTAAAGGCGAACGGGTTCTGCCCGACTGACGAGACTCTAAGGTCGAAACACGTGTATCGGGCTGTACAAGAGCCCATTATCAGACCGCATGACATGCTGGCTCAAATAATAATTATGAGATATTTTGAAATTTGAGCGTGGTCTTAATAAAATTCTCGATATAGATCATACCTCTGCTATCGACCGCTCTTTTAGACCTGCTCAAAATGAATTAATCTGATAAGGATAGCCTATAAAAACCTATTGGCTCAAAACAAGTCATATCCTTATCAGATTATTCGTTTTGAGTGGGTCTATAAAAGAGCGGTCGGTAGTAGAGGTATGATTAATTATAAAAGCCGAAAGCTCGATTGCCGGTCACCACAACGTCAGATATTACCATCATCCAACTTGGGGTAATTATTTTTTTTACTCAGCGTCGATTCCTTAAGAGAATTATTTAGCGTCAAGGGATCGACGGAACCGAGAGAGGGTGCTACTGATGAGTCCCAATAGACGAAGTAGGCGCTTAAATAGCTTCAAACCTATCGGCTCAATACAAGTCATTTCCTTATCAGATTAACTCGATATAAAGGTATAATATTATAAAAATGAAACCTCAAGAGCAATCGAGTGTAAAACACTGTAAATTGGATGGTAATTCCACTTGACCTACAGTGTAAATCGTTCGTCGACGCGACCTCTTTATAGTGAGTGTAGAGACGCCCGAGAAGATTGACTAAAAAGAACAAAACACGAAGGGTTCTGCCCGATTGAGAAGACTGTAAGGTCGAAACACGTGTATCGGGCTGCACAAAAGCCCATTACCAAATCACATGACATGTTGGCTCAAATAATAATTAT